AAAAAAAAAAAAAAAAAAAAAAAAAAAAAAAAAAAAAAAGAAGAAGCCGGCCATTAGAATAATGAGAGGTCAAACTAACACAGTGGCTACCAGGCAGTATTTTAAGTGTCTTACTGCTATAATTCTCTGAGGTAGCTACAACTATTTCTACTTCAGGTAAGGAAACTGAGGCCAAGTTTATGTAGATACAGATGAAGAACTGGGAATATGAACCCAAGCTGTCTTGTCAAAGAGCATACATATTATCTCTAGGCTTAAAGTAGGTTTTTACTGAAAAAAAAAGTTTAATCTAAGAGTATCAACAAAATATAAGAAAAAGATACAGTTTAATTAAGATTTTTTTTTTCTTGGAAATGTTAAGGACTGAACTCTGAGCAAGCTAAGCAAGTGTTCCACAACTGAGGTTATACTCCAGCCTTCATTAAATGTTTTTCAGCCTTTATTGTATTTCTTTGTTGATAATTATTAATTCTGCCTACTAATACTCATGACTAAATGAGTTATATTTATAGACATTATTTCATTAACATATTTAAAAGCAGCTTATAAAATCATCCTGAATAGCCAATTAAAATTTTTATGTACTAAAAAAATTTATGTACTTTTATTTTACATTTTTTATTTTTCTAAAGAATTGTATGTATTTTCAAACCATAACTACACACATTACTGTGATGTCACATTTTAGAACCAAGTCATATGCTGTGGCTTGTGAAAATTAAGTCATGAGACTACAATAACAAGTGCTGAATAAAAATGAGGGTAAGGACAAACTACAATTAGAGTAACTTTGAACTACAGTTGCATTCACTAAAGATAATTTTAAGTTTGGCATGTAAGCCACATTATTAACTGATATTTTTATTTTTCAAGTTGATTATTAACTCCTGGAAGGAAAGGCCACATTATATACTTCTTTGGCAACCATTCAGATAGCCTCAGGCCTACTGCAGCTCTGAGAGCATGCAGAAAGTCAACAGCTTTTCAAGTCAAATTGGTCTCATAAAACTATAGCTCTCAGAGAAATACAGACTAAAAAAACATAAATCTACTTATTTTCTTTTTGTGGTCAAGAAAAGCTCATTGAGCAACCACCTTCTGTACAGTTATAACTAGGAATTACAGATTCAGTAACTGAGGAAAAGAAAAACCTTAAACACTATTGGACAATGTAAAAATGACAATTTAAACACTCACCTGGTCCTCTACCACCACTTATCTGAACGTGGCTCCGGCTACATGATGAAATATTAGTAGTCTGAAGTTTCTGATTGTCTCTCTGTTTTGCCTGGTCACTAAATCCATTTTCTTTTGAATTTTCAGAACTATAATTTGCAGGCTTTTCACATCCTTAAAAGACAAACAAAAATATATTATTCCCTTCCTTCTTTCACTTAGAAGAGGTGTTTGAATCATCTTTTTAGATATTTTTAATAATGCCAACAAAATTACTTAAAACTTAGGGGATTGACATGCCTTAAGTATTTCTAGAAGCTTTATATCAAAAAATGGCCTAGCTGCTTTGGACTGTTCGAGTTTACTAAATCATTTTATATCTCAATATTTGCGGCTACAAAGAGCCATCAGCCTCACTGGTGCCTATGTGTTCATGGCAGTGGGTGACTCCTACAGGTTCTTTTGAGGCACTGACAGGCAGGGAAAGGTTCCTCTCAAAAGATTAACAGAGAACAGAGGAATTTTCTGAACCCCACTTCACTGGAACTCAATTTTGAAATTACTCTTAGAATTCACTTTATACTAATATAAGTATTCCTAGGTGACTTTTATCAAAGAAAGACACCAAAAATATTTTAAAAAGAATTACCCATATTTTCTGCCACAGATTTGTAATGTGACCAGTTGACAACCTGCCTGAGTGCATCTTCAGTAGAAATTGCCGCGCCATCTGGGTTTGCGTAGAACAAAAGCAGTGGCTGGAAGTGGCACCGAATGCACTTGGAGACCACATCTTTCCATCGAGTGCCAACCTTTTAAAAAACCACAATAAATACAAAATTTTAAAATCAATGTGTTATACAAAAAGGTAGGAACTTTCTATTTTGTATTTAACATTTTTTAAAGATATTCAGATGTTGGCAATTCAAACATTATATAATTAATTGGATTTAATAGCTAATCTACATAACACCTCTACATAACACCTTAAGATTCTCACTTTAAAAAATGATACGCAAAAATAACAGACTTTTTCTATCAAGATTTAATGGAAGCGCAGGGGCTGTAGCTCAGCGGTAGAATGTTTGTCTAGCATGTACAGTGCCCTGGGATTCAATACACAGTACTAAAAAGTACAAGTTTAATTATCAAAATTTAAAAAGCTTTCCACCTACATGGTTGACTGACTTTTCAAAGATATCAAGGAAATTCAATGGAAAAATATATAAAAGAGTCCGTTCAACAAATGATGTTGGAAAAACTGGATGCCATATGAGAAAAAACTTTCATTCCATTACCCAAGAAACATAAAAAATAATGGATTATGTCAAAACTACAAAACTTACAGAAGAACACGAAAGAAAATCTTTATAACCTTAGGAAGTCAAAGATTTCTTAAAATAAAAAACAAACTGTGGGAGGAAAAAATTATAAAATGGCCTCAAGATTAGTAACTTCCCTCTTGGAAGGATAAACCATAAGAAACTGAAACAATAAACATCATACATTTAATAAAGGATGATTGTGCAAAATAAAGTATTCCTACAACTCAGTAATAACATAATACAATTTGAAAAATTGGCAAAATATTTGAAAAGACTTTACAAAAAAGAATAAATATGGCCAATAAGCACTTGAAAAAAATGCTCAAAACTATCATTCACAAGGGAAATGCCATTTATTCCATGGTGAAATTAATCCATAGTGTACATCCAGTAGAATAGCAAAAATTAAAAAGACTACCAACATGGAATGCTGCTGAGGACTCAGCAATTCTCATGAATTGCTAATAGGAATACAAAACGGTACAACCACTTTGGAAATCAACTGGGTGGTTTCTAACATATATATATATATATACATATACCACAAAAACAAACAAACCCAGATTATCTAAAAGCAGTCAAAGACTGCTTATTCTTCAAAAGGTAAATAGAAAAACTGTTGTAACAGCCATGAAATGAAACACAACAATAAAAATGAATATAAACAACACAAATGAATCTTAAGAACATTATGCTGAGGGAAGGAATCCAGAGTCAGTATATAGAGTTCGCTAAAAGAAAATGCATACATGGGGGGGTGACTTGTATAAATATTTTAGTATTAAATTTATTGAGACATGAGATTAATGTAAGTTAACTTTGGCCTCTACAATTTCAAGAGGTGCTCAAGTGGTAGCCGTTAGCTTCCAGACATTCATTAGTATGGAAGATTGCTGAAGCGTGTATACAATTTTTGGTAGACTCTATATAAGAAAAGATCCTTTACATGAAATTGCATAACTGGCAAAAGTAACCTATGGTGAGATGAGCGATTTTTCTGGGCCTGAGATGAGGTTGGGGAGGGGGCTGGACAGCCAAGATTCATGACAGAATTTTATGAAAATGGTCTATGTCAGTGATGGTGAACCTTTTAGAGGCTGAGTGCCCAAACTACAACCTCAAACCTACTTATTTATCACAAAATGCAAATATTGCAATTTAACCTGAATAATGAAGTTTTAGTTCAGAAAAACCAACACATACATTAACATCTTTTGTCTTAAAAACACCGTCACATGTGTAGATAAGTTAACTACCACTGTTCTATATACCAAACATGGTGGTTACTATACCTCTACTGAAACTCAAAATGTATACTTAAAATTGGTGCATTTTAAAGTCTGTAAATTATCCTTCTATAAGACTGATTTAAAAATTGAAGACAAGAATAAACAAAACCAAAAGCAAAACAAGGAATGCTACCATACTTGTTCTTGCAGGGAACAAATCTTCAAGAGCTTTTTCAAACTACATATACTAGTTGTACATCTCATCTCCTCATCTGGAGATGTTATGTTATGTTAATGCTCACAAATGCTCCTTTACTATATGTTAAAATAAAGTAAACAAAGTTTCATCCAATTTGCTTATATTAAGGAATTTCTATTTTTGTATCAATTTACTACTTAATAATAGGGGTCTCAAAGCCAGTAAGCCTAAGAATAATGCTTCTGCGATCAATAGTTTTCAACTATGCTGAATCTGAATCTCCAGTACAACTTAAAATTTTTAGTTATTTGTCTGTATATCAATTAATTCAGAATTCAAGACTCCAGGCACACTGTGTTTATTGAAAAGTTCCACAGGTAATTTTCCCCCATAAAGAACTATTACTCAGCCTGGTGTGGCAGCAGCGTATACTCATAAATAAAGCTACTAAGGAGGCTGTAACAGGATAACAAGTTCAGTGCCAGGCTGGGCAACTACTTAGTGAGTCCCTGCCTCAAAATACAAACAATTTTAAAAGCTGGAGATATAGCTCAGTAGTTCAGTGATAGAGTGCTTGCCTAGAACATGTGAGGTCCTGGATTCAAACCCCCATACCACTAAAATAAATAAATAAGAATTTCACTACTTTTCTGGACAATATTATAATGTTTACATACATAATTTATCAAAAGATACTAATTATAAATAATATATGTATCTAACTCCCCAGTGCATACAAAATTTGAAAATGTATCAATAGGAAGTACATTTTTATTACAAGTTTATACAAAGCAACTATGAATCATCTACACAGAAACACATATAGCAACTTGTATCGGGCAACAGAAGCATCACTGAGGTAAGGATCACTGATAGTTATATACATGTATATTAACATTTAGTAGTCAAATTTTCATTAATTCTAGAAATTGGTTTAAGAATTGCTTTTAAAATAAGTCAACTTTCAAGAATAAAAGTTTGTTTTTAATGCTATCATTATTATATTTATTATATTACATGGTAAGTGTATCATCATTTTGTATATTATTATATTATTTATTCCTAAAAAGTAGAAAGTAACAATAATTCCAGGAAGTGAAAATCTTACCTCTTTCACATTTGCATCATCAAAAAATACCCATTTGGAGCTCTTGGTATGAAAGGCAAAGGCACAGTAATGTCTGCTGGTATAGCAGATCATACCAACAAGGTGAAGCTCACTATTTTTGGCATTTTCATCAGTAACCCTATAAAAAAGCTGTTTAAAAATTATTAATGTACATTTACTACTACATCTTATAAAACAAAGAATATTTGATCAATCATGTATTTCACTTATCAAAAAATTTGAATGCATATTACCCCAACCCAATATAGTATTATATTATAACTGAAGCATCACTGATACTGCATCATTGAATTACTACCTTTAGTCAGTAGAAACTTTAAGTCCCATAAAATGATTTCACTACAAATTAGTTCAGTAACATAGCATTTCCAATAACACAAGATGGATGCATATACTTAAAACATGAGGTAAATTACATATTCTTGATAATTCTTGAGTCACACATTTGAACATCCATAAAAAGGATCTAAATTTCAATTGTCTGAAATTTGAATTGTAACATACACCAAAATATATTAAGAAAATAACAATCAAGCATATTGAGATCAATGCTATAGGTGAATATTAAATCTTAAACCTCTTTCTAGATTAATATTTATTATATAAATATAATATAATTGTCATCATAGTTTTAGATTTAAAGTGCCTGAGATAGTTTAGTTTGTAATCAAAAGCCATTACTTTATGTGGGAAAGGCATTCCAGTTAAATTGGATTTGATTAAATTTGTCTTTATCAGAGTACATGTGAATATTCTTACTTCCTTTAAAAAACTTTAGGTTCTGAAAAGCAAAGGTAAATGTATCATGATATATAAAGAAACTTTAGAAGAACTTACAATCAAAGGAAAAAGAATGAAAACAATACGATACCCCAGGAAGATAAAGATGTGTTGCAAGATTCCTCACAATATCTTCGGTTAAGTCAGAATGCTCAGAATCCCAGACTAAACCAATTGTAACAATCTCTGGGCAATTCATTAAAACACGGCGAATTTTTATTTTTTGGCCACAATTACTCTACAGGAAAACAGAAAAGGCAAGCATTGAAAGATCAAAACAGTTATGCCACAGACAAAAGTTTCAGTTTATGTTATATATAATGATAGTCTTAACATATCTGAAATCTTTCAGTTTTTAAAAATTTACTTCTAACTACCTGTTTGTCTTAATTATTGATTAAACAGCAGTTTATTTTAAATTAAAGTATTCTTTGATATTTTTGTCGACCTATTAGAATAAAAATTCACCCAAGAAAAACAGAAAGCCCTTGATTATTAACACTAGAAAAGAATAGTTAACTGTGCCTATTCAGATAAAAAAAGAAACTTTAAACATGTTAGAACTTCAAAATTTTTAGTTTAACATATGCTACCTTAAATCCTTTTAAAGAGATTTTAAAGAAATGTTGCTAAGATAAATAGCCTACATGGTATAAAGCTATCTAAAATAACTTTAAATAATAATAAATTCTTAAAATTAACTTTATACAGAATATTTACATGATAATTTTTAATACTTAGTGTCAAATTTACAAACATGAAGCATACTAATATTCTCCAAATTATGCTTACAGGACACTTTCTATAATCATCTGTTGTATTTGCTGCTTGGAGTAATTCTGCAAACATTTCAGGTTTTAAGCGTTCATGTCTTTCCATCATTCTTTCAACTTCATTGCTACAAAAGAAAGAAGCAGGCTTAAATTCAGTCGCTGAACTTAAAACAGATCTAATAAATTACATATTAACGATATTAAATGGTCAATACAGGTGAGAATTACTTCTAAAATACTACTTTGTCAAAAAAAACTGACCATAAAGTTTCTATAAAGTGAAAAAAATACTAAATTTGGCAGCTATATGGTAAAAAAATTAGGACAATTATGGTATAAAATAGCATGAAATTTTATATTTTTGTCCGGTACTCTATGAATTAGGGCAAGATGCTCTATCTGGATGTAATTCTAAGGCAATGCATCCTTTATTTTATTTTTTTACTTAGTAAGTATGGACTTTCATTTCAACTCTGTCTGATCAAGAGCAACAAAATTATATAAAGGTTCTATCTCTGGCCCAAATAAGCAAAGTTATCAATTTCACCTACTAGTTGGCCCTGTGTTGACTAAATGCAGAAGAAATAGCCAAGCTTAAGCCAAATATGTGCCTTTGTTCCTAGTATGGGTTATAGTTTTTTTATTAGACCACACAGTTTTAATATATGGGATAAGTGTATCACTATTTAGCCATCCTCTCTAAATCTTTTTTTTTTTTTTTTTGTACTGGGGATCAAACTCAGGACTTTGAGCTTGCCAGGCAGGCACAGTGCCACAGAGCTAAATCCCCAGTCCACTAAGTCTTATTTTACATATCAAGGGGTTTTTTTTTTTTTTGGTACTGGGGAATTGAACTCGGGTCTTTGCCCTTGCAAGGAAGGCCACCAAACCACTTAGCTAAATCCCTGGCCCATATCAAGGTATTATACAATACCTTCAAACAACTATTTAAAAATTTTTAAAATGGAATGTCAAAGCTGAAATATTCCTATTAATTTCCATTTTAGATATACTGGTTCTGCTTAATAGCAATGTAACTTTCCCAGATATAATTTATAGTTGGCCTAAATAATTTACAGGTACTCAATAACTAAAACTAAACCCTTCTAAAACTCTTCACAAGTATACTATAAAGAATTAAATCTGATGAATTCATTTAAACTGCATATAGTGGTTTTGTAAAACCCACAATATGAGAGTAATGGCAAGCTAGAAAAATTCTGAAGTCAGATAAATCTGAGTTTTAACTGTAATCCATCCATTTATCAGATTAACCTCATTAAACGTGCTTCTTCAATAAAATAGTGTTTCCATTAAGTTTAAAGCCAACAACTTACATATAGCCCGGAATACACTTAGGATTCAATAATTGATATTCTGATTGATATTCAATCTTAATTACCAGTAAGAGTTAAAATTGTATAGGTTTTAACTAGTGGTCTGTCCTTGTTCACATACCATCATTCTTTACAACTGACTATATTTGGCAGGGGCTTAGAGGGAATATTTCTATAAACCAGTATTACCCAATTTCATTTGTATATGTAAGAAAAATACTAAACACACTCAAATAACCAAATAAACATTAAGAAATAGTGTTATATTCAAGAAACCCAGGATTTAAGTAATATGAAATGGATGAACACGTGATATTCACTTTGTGTGATGAGAAAACCATTAATAGCATGTCACTGAACTTGTGCACTGATATATTCTGATTTATAACTATCAATCCATGTTATACCTTTCATATGAAAATTTCTGGTAACATTTACAATCATCTTCATATTTTATTGCCTATCAAATCTTTACACTCTCAAACACCAGGAAAGTGTTCAATCTTTATTATGTAACACCCAGGGATCCATTTTAGATCCTTAATTAGCTAATGTTTCACAGACAGCTCATAAAGGGAAAAGGGCAAGAATGAAAGCATAGAAAATTTTAATTTAAGATGAGTGTTGAAGCCTCAAATGCAATCATGTAAGTGAGGATTACAGCCACATTTTTTTTTCCTTTTCTATTTTTTTTTTTCTGCTTACCCTAGCTTTTATCATCATGAAAGGACGCAGTGGAGGTGACAGGAAGTATAGCTACGACAAAGGGAGCCATTTAACAAAAACAAATAAATCATTTTTCAGTTCAATTTACCACTGATTGTCATTTTAATCCTTCACATTCAAAAATTTGTGATAATTTGTGTACCTCACTAAATCATTCTTATATAGGTTGAGCATCCTTGATCTGAAAATCAAAAATTTGAAATGAAACTTTTTGAGTGCCACAAATAGAAAATCACAAACCTGACCTCATTGTGATGGGATGCAATCAAAACGCAGGCAAACGAAGCATACTGTGTAAAGTTACCTTTAGGCCATATGTATAAGATGTACTCATATATGAGATCTAAATGAATTTCATCATTAGATTTTGGTCCCAATCCCAATATATCTGATTACGTATAAATGAAAATATTGCACAATCTGAAACCTGAAATAATTCAAGTTCCAAGCATTCTGGATAAGGGATACTCAACCTGTATTAAGGCTAAATCACAAATATTATCTGAGATAAACATCTCTTACTATTTCTTATGGTAGCAGACAGGGCGAGGGGTAATTCATATGTGTTACAGTTTTACAGAATAAATGTTCAATGTGCTTAAATGTTGTTGTTAGCATCTTTGCTAAATATTCTTTAACAGGTCCTTACCATAAAGCTGTTGTAGAAATGTACCGCACAAATTCTGTAAAAGGTAGAGGATCTGATGATGCTCCACAGCTACGACACACACACTATAGGTAAAAACATATGTTTAATCTCTCAATCACAAAACATAAATACAATATCTGATAAAATGAGTAAGCCATTTCACCTGTTCATACAGAGTCATAGCGAACTTCTGGTGAGTGATACAAGACTTAGAGGTGCACATGTCTGCATCTCTGCTTGGCACTATGTGAAAATGAATCCTCTCCAATATATTTTCCTAATTTAAAAAGAAAATAGACAGGTGAGTTGATAATGTTGCAAAGAACACTTCAAAATACAACTCCTTCCAACTGAACATTTTCCAAAGTGAAAATATAAAAATGGCATACATTTTATTAGCCTTTCAGCTTTCTCCTCTAATCAGCACTTCAACTGTTGTTCAATTATTCACTTTTAGTAGTGCCAGCTAAAAATAAATGTTTAATAAAACATCATAGCAGTCTTTTTAATGAAAATTTTAAAAATTCTTTAAAAAAATCCAACCCATAGTGACTGATACCTAGAATTTAATAGTAGAAAATATGGTTTTCTATGTCCTTATAGTCTTTAAAAAAAGCAGGTAACTTTTCCTAGCTTTCTAGGCATTTTATGAACTATTATTAGAATAACAAAAAGTGGTGGTAGAGAAATAATACGGATAGAAAACCTTTAAAAGGATTTGTGCGGGAAGAATTTACAGAATTTGCAGAATAGAAAAAGGACCAAGAATGATTTAAATTGACCTCTGAAGAATGGGTAAGACATGGATCCACTGACCAAGACCAATAAATTTGCATTTTTACAAATCTTTGTTTTGTCTCAAAATATACATATTAAAGAATGAAAAAAAAATTTTTAGAAGGATTATCAGAAATACTTACAAAGCACTCTGCAGCATCATCCATAAGGCCAAGCTGAAATCGCTGCTCATCTTTGAAGCTTTCTGCAAGAGCGTGCCTTATGTTATCTGAGGGAAGCGCTTTTTCCCGACTGTGCTGAAACTGGGCAAATATTGTCTGGGGAACAAAAATAAAACAGTAAGTTTAATGCCAACAACTTTAAGCACATTAAATAATTTTTTAAATAATTTCATTATAACATAGAGAGGTTCAAAACACATACTTAGAAACCAATACAGAACAGTCTTTTGCTCTAAAATTCTATATAAAAATTCATTATTTGTATCAGTAATTGCAGAGGTGGTTGTAGTGGCATCTAACTCAAATGTTAAAGTGTATATAAATGTTAAAGTGCATGTGTGTTAGACATGAACAGCTCTGAGATCGACCCTGAAAGACACTGATTAGGCCTGAGGTGTCATCTATTTCTAAACTGTTCTGCAGATGATTCTGACGAAAGTTGTTTAAGGAACAAAGTGTAAGATTACAATGATACAAACCAAAAATCAACATACAATAAAATAAAATAAATGATAGGAATTCACCTCTTTTTAAAAAAACAAATGTTAGTTAATCTAAATGACCAGTTAGGATTGTTTGTTCCTTCTGGGAACTTAGGTAAACTTCAGAAAATAACAAATTGGTTTAAAAAACAGAAGTTCAGAAAATACTAACAGAATGACAATTTCTCACTATGATAATACTAAAGTTAGTTTTTAAAAAATGTAAACGTACATTTTACAAGAAGGGTCAGGAGAGTTAATAACTATTTTTAGTCTTTTTGAGAATCCCACCCACCCACAGTTATATATTTTTCTCATTTAAAGAGTTTTTTAAAACCTAAGTCTAAGAAATCATGGAAACATCATTTAAGACTATGAGATTGTAGGTATTAACTCAAGTCTATTTTCCTTGTTGAATTTAAACACAAAAAATATTGAGTTGTCTGTGATGGTACATAATAGTAATCCAAGTTTATCTGACAGGCTGAGACTGGAGAATCACAAGTTTGAGGCTAGCCTGGGCAACTTAGTGAGATCCTGTCTCAAAATAAAAGGACTGGGGATATAGCTCAGTGATACAGCACTTGCCTTGCATGCTAGGGTCTCTGGGATCAAATCTCCAGCACAAAGATAAGCAAAGCTTTTTATCAAGTTAGTTTAGGATAACTACAAAGAAGATAATAGGGAGAAAAAAAGGTAAGATTTCTCAGCAACATACTAAATAAGAAATGTTCATGCTCTTTAAGCTCGAGGAGTTGTACCATCTCAAAAAAAAAGATAAAGTTTTTTAAGACCAACACATGGCAAATTAGGAAACTATTTCAAGAATCTATTCCTCCACTGCAAAAATTTTAATTCATAAATAAGAGTTAAAAAATAAAATGCCAAATAAAGCTGGATACAAATGATAGGAATTCACTAGTCTTTCTATAAAAATTAGAAATTATAATTATTTTAGCCATTATAATAGAATGATGATTATGAAAAGGTGAAAATACTACAGATTTCATCTTATTTAAGTAATTAACTTGTCCGGGCAATGTTTAAGATACTGAACCTACACAAGACTTTACTCATTCAACACCTATTCCTCACTTGCCTCGTGTATGAACAATGCCTGCATTGTTCTATACTAGAAAACAGTGACCTCGCCCACACGGAGTTTATATTCTAGTACAGTAATGAGGATGCACATAAGTAATTATATAATATGTCAGAATGTGATAAGATAAAGACAGTTAAGAACACAACACAAGAGACAAAAACACAGCAATATAATGGGGTTCTGAATGCTGGGGGAAGGACAGAGAGATGCAGCTACTTACCTTTTACCTAGTGATGAAAGGCCTCAGTGACACAAAAAGCAACATTTGAGAAGAGGAACAAAGGTGTTAACGCTAAGGACCTTGGGAAGAAAAGTACTCTAGAAAAAAGGAGTGACGATGAAAAGATCTGGACATGAAAGCCAGCTCTGAGCAATGGGCCAGACTGAAGTACAGTGAACGTGTATGTGAAGTGATGTTGGGAGCAATGACGCAGGGCTGTGAAAGTGTCAGGCCAAGGCTGAGGAAATGAACTACACTGGTTGTTACAACTGGACAAACCATTCAAAATTTACCATGAAGTATATAAAATGTGATCTTGCAATTTGACCTAGGTTTATTTTTCATCCTCTGACAACATTATTCTATCATGTTCAGAAAATTATTCACTTTTGTTAATCCATTCAAATAGCCTTTTCAGGAACATAAAGAAATTAAGGTATGCAGATTTTTAAAAAATTTCCCATATATGTATGAGTTCATTAACAATGTTCAAGAATGTGGAAGAATAAAAACATTTATCTTTTAAATGTGCTAACCAAATCTTAACTTCTCAGGCAAAAGATTTTTAATGACAAAAATGAGCTGTTAATATATACTACACACCATGTTTCTACCCTTGTCTCCCTTAGCTCAGTAGCCAAAAGGGTCTAGTTTAGGCAGATTATATCACTCCTCCAATTGAAAATAATCCCAGAACTTACTAAATTACTCAGAGAAAAAGCCAAAATTATTAAAAAGGCTCATAAAGCAATCTGAAGTCATATTCTTGTTATCGCCTTGTAATACACTAGCCAAAAACTTAGTTATTAGAAAACACTCATCAATCTTGATTATGAATCTGGAGTTTGGACAGGATGGCTCCTCTGTGTTCTACCTGGAGCTATCTGAGAAGTTGTGAATGCTGGGACCTGGTCTAACAGCCGATGCTAACTACCAACTGGGACCTATATACTAGCTATGTCTAGAATGCCAGTGTGGCCTTCCACATATCTTTGTGGCTTTCTCACAGTCTCTGGCTCCCTTCCAAGAACAAGCACCCTCAAGGGACAGAGCACGGCAGGGAGCTCTAGTATCTTTTCTAATCTAACCTGACTTCAGATGTCTTGCAAAATCAGTTCTGTCACACTCTCGTTGATAGGAATCAGTCACTGAGGCCCATGTTCAAGGAACTTCTTCAGAGAGGAAAAAAAAATGCAAAATTATATGGGGACATGTTTTCAAGCCATCACAATGCCCATTATCTCCGAGTTCATCTCTTACATAGCTTTTAGCGCTCATTTCTTCAGGGTTCCTTGCGATGTCTCATACACTCCCACCTCGAAGCCTCCCAGGTTGGTTCTGTCTGCCCAGAAGCTCCTCCACCACATGACCCTTTGCTCACTGTGTCACCTCTTCCAACCTTTGAGTAAAGTATCACTTTCCCAGCAAGGCTTCTTTGGCCATTCAACATACCATGGTCTCTTTCTCTGACTTACTTTTCTTTTCCCATCGAACATACTCCACGGTGGTGCTTATTTACTGTTTTCTCCCTATCATAGGATAAGTACTTCTGATATTTTTACTTGTTTTATTCACTGTCGTACCCTCAGTATCAACAGCTGTATCCTGAATTTAGTGGTAGCTCAAAAGCACTTGCTAAATTAATAAAGAATTATTTCCAAATAATGAAAAGTGCAATGTTCCTAACAGTTTCATACTACTTAGATGATTACTGTATAACTGCTCTAATGAAAAACTAGAAAATAAAAAATAAAAACACAAAGGTGAATAAATCACACATTAAGATTGCATCTACAAAACTATAAATCTCTTGACAACAAACTTCAATTACAAAGAAATTAACCAAATATGTCAAATATCAAAATTACATTTTTGAAGAAGCAGTAACAATTCTTGATAACTATGAAAAGTTTACCTTCAGTGCACAAAATATGCAGGCTTCTCCCTGACAAATATGTCCAGTCAGAACACGCAAGCTTCGCCGGAATATATCCAATTGCCATAAAACCTAAAAAACAGATTTGAAGGAAAAAGACAATGAGATTTTCCTCACAATGATAAGATATTTAGATATTTTTCAAATTGAAAAAAAGGCTAATAAGTACTTTCTTTCAATATCTTGTACATAATCAGATATACACAATCACTAGAAACAATAGCAAGTAGGCCGGGGATTTAGCTCAGAGGTTCCACTGCCTGCCTTGCAAGTGCAAGGACCTGAGTTCAATCCCTGGTACCAAAACAAAACAAAACAACAACAACAACAACACACACACACACACACACACACACACACACACAGAAACAGTAGCAAGTATAAAACTACTATATACATGATATACATATATAAAAGATGGGTTCAGAAGATATTCTTATTGACTCACATGAAAAACCATTACAGGCATAGAGCCAGGAAAAACAAACTCCTCAGTTAAGGATCTGACATGAACAGGAAATATGGGATACTTAGGATAATTAAGGACTTGGCAGAGACACGAAAGAAGTGATTAGAATACTTGGACAAACTGAAATCTAGGGAGGAAATGTAATTAGACTTTAAAGGTAGGGTGTACGTAATAGAGGTCAGTGTGTTATGGGAAGAAAAGAGGGTGGCCAGATGTGTGTGTGGTCCCTAAATACTGATGAGAGAGTGGGTATCTATGCAGTAATGAAGGTCCAGCATGTGAAGCAGCAGTATTTAAGGAATTATCTGAAAAGACATGTTGCAATTAGTCTTTAATCACCTGCTACTAAAAGACAAAGGTAAAGCAAGCAAACAAATAAAAAAACAACTGTTGAAGTCAAGCGACCCAGTACCTAAAACTCATTCTGGAAAACATGAACTCTATACAATGAAATATTAATAGTCCTGCCCAATACAACTGTCTTTTGCGGGGTGGAGTTTGAGACAGGGTCTCACGCTGGTCTCAACCTCACAGCGATCCTCCTGCCTCAGCCTCCTGAGTACTGGGATTACAGGCATGTGCTGCCATGCCCAGCCCAATACAATTCTTATAAGGATTAAATAATACATAATATGTAAGGTGTTTAAAGCAGGACCTGGTACATAATCAGGCATACAGTGAATATCAGCTGCTACTGCAACAAACATGTAAAATCTTTAAGTTTCCCTCTATGTTTTAGTTATTTCCTCAAATATAAACTTAAGAAATTCATTTATGAACTCTCGTTTCTACCAAACAAAAACAAGATTTTAGTAAAAGGTTAGTAAAAATAAATTGATCTTAAGGTTTTCTATATTTTCAACTTCTCAATAATCAAAGAGCATATCAGAACTTCTCTTTTAGAACGGCTTTTTCTTCAAACATAATAGGATCTATTTATTTATCATAAATAACAGTGTTTTGCAAAGCACGTTTCAAATGCCTTGTTATTATCTCTTTTACCATCAAAAATATCACACTGAAATCCATTTTCCAGCAATAACGAAGGAGAATGACAGCAGGAACTCAGGCACAGCACAGAAGTGAGGCCAAGGGTGCCCCTCAGAGGTAGGCTGCCTGGTCTAATTTGGCTTTATTCTTCAGCAGTGCTTGGATGACATGGGCAAAACACTTCCTGAGATTACATTCTCAGTAAAGTGAAGATAAATCTTGTGCCTGCTGCTTAGAGTTGTTGTAGAATTCAATTAAATATGATGTGTAATGTTCAGACAGGTGTCTGGTGCATATAACTTTGTTCTAATCCTTATAATTCAATGCTATATTGTCAAACCTACTTCAATTATACTGCTTTTCAGATACAAGTTAAAAATATTCAGCTAGCAGGCCACCTTTTATAATCTGTTTATAAAGTTGGTGAAGTCTTTCAAATATAATTGTAATATTTTCTGGGAGTAGCACAATCTCAAAGTTACACTGGAACAAACTACAGAAAAAATATGTGATTTTTAAAAAAATCTGTACATTATTCATTACAATAATGTAAAGCATATTTTAGCAAATCCCTATTTAAAAATAATTATTTTTAATTATGGTTAATCATTATCCTATTTTATTTCAAAGTGTTTATTACAGTCTACTTATTTAAAACATTAAAGTCTATGCTAGCTGTTGAATTAGTTTATTAGAGTATGGATACTGCTTAGTTTATGCATACTGAAAATCAATACATATGTGCACATACATTTAATAAAGAAAAATAAATCTCTTACATTTTTCACTTCAAAATAATATAAGTTAAAAATTAAGTAATCAAAAAAGCATATAATTTCAGTTTTTACTTATGTTAGATATATATTATTTTAAGGTCTGCTTTTAGTAATTTCTTATAAGAACTATTACACAATATATTTCTTAGCAGTTATTTAAAAAATATTCACCAAATTGCATATTAACATTTGTATTCTGAATTTTTTAAAATGAAATTTGGTCTTTCTGATATAAAGTCTATTTGAATTATTTTGTTACTGACAATTGGCTATACAAATCAACTTGTACAGACACCTTAACCACAGAGCCCAGAAGATACTCCTAGAGCTACTCTGTAGAAGTACTGCACAGAGATAGCACCATGGATCTGCACAGGGCCCCTCTGAATATTCCAGCAAGCAGTAAGAGTGAACTACTCAATGCCAGGGCAAGAAATGTCCAAAAGAATTAGAGGAAATAATGCCCAGAGCTTCACACAGGCCTATTTCTAGCAGCTAAAGTGAAAAACTTTAAAATTTACAGAGCAGTGGTTAAAAAAAAGTCTCAAGAGAAATTAACCGTAGAATAGACCTTTGTCTTCCCTTACAAACTTTAAGACTAAAGTGATCAAACTGTGTCCAAGTAAATTAACTTTATCCCAAAACAAAGTTCAAGATTGTTTTTAGGAATAAAAAAAAAATCTCTCTAATGTAACAAGGTAAAATTTGCCTGACAACTAATAAAAAATTATCAGGCATTAAAGAAAAAAATAAATATGTAACTTTATTTCATACAATTAAGAGGCTAGAAGTAAGACATTAGTGTTAAGTAGAGACATGAGTGTTAAGATTCACATTAATATTCTAGAAACGAAAACTACAGTATCTAAGATGAAAAATATACTTAGCAAAAAAAAAAAAAAGATTAATGAGCCTGAAGACAGAAATAGAAGCCACACAAAATGAAACAGAAGACTGAAAGAAAATGAAGAGATCATTAGTGAGCTATAGGACAATATTAAACTGCCAACTATATATAAAACTACAGTCTTCGAAAGGTGAGGAAAGACAAGTTAGTTGGAGAAAGATCAGTCAAATAGTTCTCAAATTTGATTACAATTGTAAGCTTGTAAAACCATTATGCTCAACAAACCCAAACGACAGATATGAAGAAAACTATGTCAAGACATATAGATTACTTTAAACCAAATTCTACTTCAGAGATAATCTTAAAAGCAGCCACAGAAAAAGATCACATTATACATAGAAAAACAAAGATCATAAGGATAGATTTTTATTAAATATAATGCAAGCTAAAACACAAAGAAGCAAAATCTTTAAAGTACAGGAAAAGACACATACTGCTTTAGGCTGTTTGAATGTTTGAAAATATCTTTCAAAAACAAGAGAGGACTGGGATATTGCTCAGCGGTGTAGCACCTGCCTGGCAAACCTGAGGCCCTGAGTCCAATTCCCAGTACCAAAAAAAACCACAAAAAACAAAGGAAAACCAAAGTGAAATACAGATGTTTTTCAGACATAGAAAAGTTGAAAGAATTCATCATTGATATGCCAGCAGAAAGAGAAGAAAAGCAGAAGGAAAGGATGCAAGGTGGAAATGTGAATCTATTAACAGGAGTGTTTCGTATGTACACAACTATGCAGAAAGGGATAGTCATCAGAGTATAAAGCTCAATGCAGTTTATTTAAATTTAAAAAAACACTATCATAGGAATATTTCTACTTTCTTTACTAGGAATATTTCTACTTTCTTTACTATGAAAGTTTCCTTAATGTGAATATTCCGTTACAATATGCTTTTTGTCTCCCTATATTATAGACAGTATTTTGAGAGCTAACGAAAAGAAGAGAAACAGAGGGGGAAAATGTTAAAGCGAAGAATAGTAAAAAAAGAGCTGATATGACAGAAGACCTTCCTTATGATCAAAAGCATTTAATTCCAGATCTTGTGGTACTTAATATGTCCTTATATCAAGTGCCATTAAATAAATATATTATTTTTTCATTACACTGAACATCAGTACAATCTTTGAGCCAGGGCAGGAACACTAACTGCCATAGAAGTGTCCAAAGTAAATTAGATTCAATGTTTTCATTATACAGTGGTGCCTCAGTGTTTGCATGGGAAAGATGGCCAGTTGTGTCACACAATGCAGTTTGCAAACAAAAACAAAATTTTGCCAAATGCTTCTGTTTGAGAACCAAATTGTTTGCAAACAAAAAGTGTTCCAAACCAAAGTAACGCTGTACCAATTACTTCTCTTTCCCTGGGTGAATTAAAGAACTTTCAAGTATGGCCCAAGAAGGCAGCAACTGAGATATCTGAGCACTTGATGTAGTCTAGATGTGTTTACTTATAAAATACCTTAAACAATATTTCTCTCTCTCCTCTCAGTTTTTAGAAGAAAAATTCTGGAAATGCCAGACAAAAATCATATTATACATAAGAAAAGCTATTTAGCAAAGGCAGAAAAATATGTTAAAATATATTTGTAACTAAAAGTTTTGTAAAAATGGAAGCAAATGGATTAACCTCCAATTTAATCAAAAGAGTGTTGCTCTAATGATGATTACAGAGGTGATTTAAGGACCACAGTGAGAGGTGAAGGGAGTTTGAGCACCATTATTAAAAATAATGAAAAATAAGAATAATTATTATTCTAGATTCTTATTTCAAACCAAGAGGCTCACTTCTTAATGTTTTATCTACTGAGAACTACACCAGATTTGTTTTTATTTTGTGTAATTTGTTTTTTGTATTTCTTGAGAAGGGATTATTGCCCAATAAATTGTTTCCGTATTTTAGAAACATTCTTAATTTACTAAATATTTAAGTAAAAAGGTTCTCCTATCACAGTAATACATCACCCTGTCAAAGAAAACACCATTTCCATTTATTATAAAAACTAAAATTGCCATTTTGCTCCATTAAAAGTGATACTAAAAGCCATTTCAGTTAATAACTTTGTTCATAATTTAGTAGTTAAAGAAGCATTAAACAAAGTATTTCCCGAAAAGTATTTTTTTTAAAATGTAGTAAGTATGGTCTCACCTGTACAGCACTATTAAGAAAGCAGCTGTTTTGTCCTGGTTCGTTTAACAAGCCTTTGGTAGGGGCTAATGATAGCATACTTCCAGGTTGGTAAGCTTTCCCAAGGTTGCCACCAGGTTTCCGTAAGAATTTTACCCAGGCCATCTTCAAACAACTTTGTTTGCATTAAAGCTAAGAACTGTACATGGATGCTGTATTTCTGATGACAAAATGGATAACTTGAATTTGCAACTTAAATTCACAACAGTTTGTAATAAGTATGTAAGTTTCCAAGTCCATATCTTTCTTAATGGTATAAATTTTTGAGGATATAGGTAAAAATGGGGTAAGTAAACATTGAAGGTCTGAGAGCTAACAAGAACTTTAAAAGAACTTCCTTTTAAAAAACAAGGCCTTAAAGATTTTTACGTGTTAAATTTTATAAGAGAGTTGTACACACTGAGACAAAAATGGTTGTTTCTGTTTTTAACTGCAAAAAATATCATTGATGAACAAATTTCTTTCGTGAACCAGTCAGTTGTCTTGACAGATTAAAAAATACAAAAGGATGATAGGAGAAGATGTACAGTTGACATCTGGCATGATTCCTTTGGTCATTTTCTTTATGCTTTTTTAATAAAAAATAACTCTATTTATTTTCCAGGTGAAGTTATCAAAGGTGACTCAATATGTCATTTCAATGTGACATCAAAGCAAATCTACAAGAAAAGAAAAGAAATGTTTAAAAATAAACCTAGTCAGGAAAATTTCTATTTTACAATTTGAACACAAATATTGACTATAGAACTAAAATTTACCATTACAAGGATTACAACTAATAACATTCAAAGATATTAAAATGAGAGCACTTCATCACTTATAAGGGTTCTACAAAAATAGAAACCTAGTACTGGGGTGAAGGGAGGGCAGAGACAAGGGGAAAAAATGAGAACCAAGACCTGTCATGTAAAGGTACAAGATCCCAATAATGAATGTAACTGTATTGTATACCTGAAATGTACCAATAAACGCAATAAAAAAAAAAAGAAACCTAGTACTAAATTAGGTCTCAGGTGGTATATGTCAACCTAAATTGCTTTAGTAAACAAATATGCATATGTGTGTACATACTACAGACTATGTTATCTACCTTACATACAGAATCATATTTTTCCAAAAAAGTCAGTAGATTTCATGTAAATTAACATTCATAACAACTACACAGAAATAGATTTTAGTGAATTAAATTTCTATCTTTTCACAAATGCATGCTCTCGTTTAATGGATTTCAAATGCTAAATTTCAGAATTAAAAATAATCAAATATTACTAATAAAGTTTTATTTCATCAACTTAATTTTGTTCCTGCATCTTTCATCCAACAAACACTTACAAAGCATTTTTCTTATGGTACCTATCAGGCACTGGAACTAACATAATGAAGAATATCACAATACCACATACCAGCATACCACAGTACATTGTAGAGTGTACCAGGAGGTTCTATGTGTTAAGTGCTAACAGAAAACAATGTAAAAAAGCAGAATGAGAAGTTATACAATGTAGGATGACCTTCATTTTTCAACAGGATAGTCAGGGAAGAAGGACTGAGGAGGTTACATCTGCACCAAGATTTGAAGGAGGTAAAGAAACCAAGTGAGGGAAAAAACTCCAGGGTAGACTGAAGAGAAACTTCAAAAATACCAAAGTTGGGGCATACGTGGCATGCAGGAAGAATAGTAAGAAGTCCAATGTGGCAAGAGAAATTTAATAAGGAGCCTGGTAGATGAAACAGAAGGACAAGAGAAAGACAGATTACATAGGGTCTTGTGAGCCCTTTGGTTTTAAACTCTGGCTTGACAGTTACTGAGTTCTGTTTTTACAGCACAAAAGACAAGAGACAGAACAGCATGGGTCAGTTGAATATCACTGATCAAACACTCACAAGATAGCAAAGCACTAGAGAACAAAGAAGAAAACCATCAGTTTCTAAAGAAATAAAGTCAAGAGCCTGTTTCTAAGCCTACTCTTTAGCTGTCTTGTTTAAAATACATTCTTGTCATCTCTGATAAGAACTTCTTTATCTTGAAAATGGGGACAACAGTAACAACTCTGTTTAATGAAGGTTAAATATTCTAAGAATTATAAAATATTGTTGGTTATTTTTTCTATTTTAATCAATTCATAACACCTCCCTGAATGATCTAAATGATCCTGAAACCTTTCATATATGTTGTTTTTAATAAATTTAGTCATGTTTTATAACATTAAGTGAACTCTATATTGGCAGTAAATTCCTATTTTTAATAAAATCATCCTTTTAAAATGATAAACTTTCAACACTTACTAGGCACCAAGTCTGTACTATGAACCATCCTAAAGTATTATAAAACAATTCCTATCATTAAAGAATTTAGTTTGGTGAGGGTCATAAACACAAACAGATAACTTAAAAGAATCATGGCTCCCATTCCTTTATAAGATGTCAAACTAATATGTGTCCTGATTGCCTCCTTCCGACCCAGTCCTGAAGATTACACAAAGGAAAAGCAATCTGATGAGAAACGAGGAGAAATGCTGAGGACACCAAAGGTCACTGGCTTGTAGAGTGTGAGAGAAACAATAAGCAAGTGATGGAGAAAGCCCAACGTCCAACTGGAATGCTCTTCCTACCTGTGAGCTTTTCCACTCCTTATAGTGATCTGGGCAGAGAATTCCCACTCCACACAATGCAATGAAACAGAAAAGCACTGCTCCTTCCCCAGTGCCATGTGGAGATCAGCTTTTCAGGAAAACACTAGAGCACAACCAGTTTCGGAAGTGTTGAAAGTACAGGTGATCTATAGGACCCTTTGTGTTCTGGACTCACCTGTTCTTCTCATGAACTGATCTGAAAAGACAGGTAGGGCTATACAAAATTCTTTTCTGGAACCAACTTTCAAACTGCTTCACCCTGAATCAAGCCCTTACATCCTACTTCTACTCCCTGAAATCAGACACAGACAAACCACTTAGAGCCTCATCTTCATGTTTCTCCCAGGTGAATATTCCTAGCTTAGAACTTGGTACTCCTGAGGAAAATATAACCAGGACAGTATAAGCACTTTGACAGAAAGAAAGCACTTTGATGAACAATCTAAACCACAGGAAACAGAAAGAATAAAGGGAACACAAATTTAAAATGAACATAATAAATACCTGCCAGGTGAGGATATGTGTAGATTTTTAAAAAACACTGTTACATTAAAAAAAGAAATCCAAAGATCAGGTTAACCAGCAAACCGCAAAGAGGGAAAGAAGATGGTACCAGCAAATAGTAAGTTTAAATAAAAAAATCACACAAGGTACTAAAAAAACAAAAAAGAAAACATAAACATGTTTTAGGAGTGAAGAGGTATGGATGAGATCTAAAAGTGTCAAAATCTATCAAGATACCTACAAAGACAAGAAACAAAGTAAACTGAGTAAATATAAAGGATTAAGAACTAGACTGAAGATATGGCTCAGTGGCTGAGGGAATGCACAAGGTCCTGAGTTCAATCTCCTGGAACACCAAAACAAACAAACAAAAACAAAAAAAGAGGAAGGAAAGCAAGCAAGCAAGCAAGCAAGAAAGAAAGAGGGACACTTATTTCCCAGAATTAAATGGAAAAAAAGTCAGAACAAACAATTTAAAAATATAAATAATGTGGGGAAGGAGAGAAGGACAGAATTTGTCAAACATTAAACAAGAAGGAAATAAAATAAATCCCAAACTAATTTATGGGTGTTTTGTTTTGTTTTGCAAAAACTAGTACAAGGATATAACCTTCACAAGACTGATGAAAGAAAAATGGAAATATAAACATTAATGAAAATGGTAATTATAACTACATCAGCAACCAAAAACTGTACATGTATGCCACTTAAGTCTTATAAAAATAACTTCGAAAATCTAAAGGAATCACTAACTTCCTAGCAAAATACAAATTACTCACAATAATCCAAGAAAAAGTGTAGAACTTCAAAGAAACTGACTAGTTGAGAAATTGCAGAGATAGACATTTTCCCACTCACAATAACACCGGCAGCAGACAGATTTTGAGTTAAAATTTTATCTGACTTTCAAAGAACTGTTAATTTCAATTTTAAATTATTGTAGTCCACAGGGAAATTAAAAAAAAAAACAAAATTACTCCAAATAGTTTCACAGAGCTAACATAAACTTAGTATCAAAACACATAAATCACAGACCAATGGGACATATGATCAGAGATGCAAAAAATTATACAACACTAGCAAATAAAATATACTTCTGCATCAAGACAACAATGCATTACTGAAAAAGTGTTAACAAGTAGAGTTTACTCCAAGAATGTAAATGTAATTCTGTATTTATTCCTTTAATAAATATTTGAGAGGCTGTGCAAAAAAGAGCTAACAGCATTATTCAGAATAGCACAAAGGTGAAAACAATACAAATGTCCATTAATTTATAATAAACAGATAAATAAAATGTAACACACACAAGAATATTATTTACCTATAAAAGTAAGTACTGACATATGCTACAAATGGCTAAGTACTGAAAACACTACAATAAGTAAAAGAAGCAAGTCACAAAAGACCATAAACTATACCATTTCACCCATATGAAATATCTAGAACCAGAAAATCTACAGACAGTACATTAGTGGTTATTCAAGACTGGAGAAATAAGTATGAGCTGTGGGATTGTAAGGGAAATAATAGCTAAAGACTATAAGGTTTCTTTTAGAGGTGATAAAGATGTTAAAACCTTTTGGTAATGAAAGTACACTTCTGTGAAAATAGTGAAAAGCACTGCACAGTACACTTTAAATGGGTGAATTACATGGTACATAAATTACATTTTAATAAAGTTTTTCTTTTTTTTTCGTTTTTTTTCTTTTTTTAAAGATAGCAGGCCTGAGATTGCTAACCATAGAATGGTCTGCTCCTTAGGGTTGACCTTCAAGAATTTAAAATTTGGGAAGGGTCTGACCACCTTCACTGATAAGAGTGTGTCACTGTACCTATGCTATGCAAACAGTATGATTTCTCCTGAACACCTTTTTCCTTCAGGAGGTTTAGAATTTCGGTATGACTTAGGATGCCTATGTGACTACTCCCCCATTGGAAATGTCGGGCACTGAGTCTTAAAGCTTTCAGTGGTTAACATTCTACACACACCGTAACAATTCAGTGTGTTTTGTGTGATTCCACTGGCAGAGACTACTGGCAGTTCATTTTAAGACTGTTGATTTTACTTTGCATCCCTTCAGTGCAATAAATTCACCACTGTGAGTATGCATATACATATAGTTATATGTTAAGTCCTGAATCCTAAAAAATGACCAACAAACCTGGCAGGTGGGAGGGCTCTCCAATCCAGGGGCATTATGGTACAAAAGGGAAGAGCTACTTTATTTCCACCAGACTGGCAAAAATTCAAAGTAAAACAGAAAAGATTCTTTTACTGCTGGTTAACACAAAAAAGTAATGATACTATTCTATTCTCTGGCAATCTATCAAGCTGCCAACAACTACTAAAATTAAAAACATAAGCACACTTCAACCCCAGAAATGCAATGATAAAAATTTATTCTCCCAAAATAAAAGCAGCATTTTATTGAGATATAATTTGGTAGTAGCAGCAAATAACAAATCAAACAAAGTGAATGTCCATCAGTATAGACATATTTGACAAATAGGAGTTTGTC